CTCCTCAAATGGCAAGAGCTGAGCTGGTCTGAAGGCAGGAATCGGGAATTCTCTCAGGTCTTCCATGTGCCGCCCCCTCCTCCTTTTTAAGATTTATTTTTAAAAATTTTTATTGGAAAGTAAGATTTACAGAGAGGAAGAGAGACAGAAACATCCTTTGTCTGCGTGGAAGGCAAGGACTCCACCAGGCCCGCAGGATGTGTTGTTGTAACTAGCTGCCACCCCTCTCCCCGTAAAGGCTATCTCTCCAGTGTGTTTTGTCTTACAGCAGTGTGTTTAAAAATAAGCAAAGCTGATTGGTAGAGCTTTGACCAGGTGATAGGCAGGAGAAACCAGGCTTTCTGTCAGTTTATGTAATGAAAACATTCTCCAAGTTAGATAGTTGCTGCATTCCTGAATGCTGATGGATAGCTGAGATTTTAATTTCAGTTCAAACTGTTTGGCTACACGTGCTGACATAACCTCACACTTGGAACTGCGCGTATGGCAGCGATACAGCGGCACTCTGCACAGCACGCGGTCTGTGTGATGGAGAGCATGTGAGATGCAACATGCTGTCTGCTCTCTTTGTTCAGTCATACTCGGTTTCATGGTGTAGTAAGCTGAATAATTTACGCTGCAGCCTGTCAGTATTACCTTAGTTGGAAAAAGGGTCTTTGTGAGGAAGGGGATAATCCCGGATTATCTATGCGATCCTTGAATGCAATAACACCATCCTCCTGGAAGAGCAGCAGAGGGAGATTTCACCCAGAGGAGAGGGCAGGGTCAAGTTGGAACAGAGAGAGATCTGAAGATGCTGGCTTTGAAGACTGTAGCGATGAAGGCGCAGCCAAGAAGCACAGGCGGCCACCAGAGACTGGAAGAGACAAGGAACAGATTGTCTGCTCGTGCCCCTGGCGAGAGGGTGGTCCTCCTGACATCTTAATATCGGCTCAGTGATTGTAATTGCAGACAACCGACCCTCAGAGCAGGGAGGGGAGAAATCACTGGGGGTTTTTTTGTTGGGTTTTTTTTGCAACCAAATTTGTGGTGATTTGTTACAGTAACCAAAAGAAACCTATGCAGTAAGACTAAAATCTGAAAATAAAACCATTTGCCTAAGGCTGAGAGTGAGTCAGTTTGGGTTATGGGGCCAGCTGTGATACAGTGGAGACTGTAAACAGATGTATGCTAGCCACAATGCTTCATCTGCTGCACAGCCACTTTGTAATTTGTTGAACCACCCAATATTTACTTAGCGTTTGTTGTTCTGCTAGATGTGGATATTCTAAGACATAACTTAATGCTCCCAATGTAGCACAAATCCCTTAAACTTCTTCCTGGATCCTACTATTTCCCCATTTACTGTGGGTTGATTGTCTTATAACTATAGCATGTCCTGCTTTGTTATCATTATTTGTATCTTATGGTAGGTGAGGATTTGGAGCTGACTGAGGAAGCAAATGAAGAGGTGGATATCAGGAGAATTGTTTGCCTGCGAGGTTTGGTTTATAGCCAGGTGCATCTATTCTTATGTCCTATGAAGGATTCAAGTCAGAGTCTGAGACCATTTCCCCTTAGTGTCAACTGGGACATCCCCAGAGCTGTGTTCTGCTGTGGACCAGTGGTGCTCATGTGGAAAAAAGCTCATAGCTAGGTAGCCAATTTATGTAAAACGAGGGACCATCAGCCTTTTAGTCTACTATAACAACATACAAATGACTTGTCCATTAATTTCTCAGTTATCTACTTGTTGCTTTTGTTGTCAACTTTTGTTGCTTTAAGTAAAATATCTAAGAGAAGTAACTCAAGGAAGGTTCATGGTGGCAGTCTTTGAAATGAACACGTCCAAAGCCATTGGCCCCATTAATTTAGTCCTCTGGTGATAGAGAAGAATGGTTGAGGGGCAATCACATGATGACACAGGAAGCAGAGACAGACACAGGCATCCTTCCTGGCTTGTATATATCCCATCTTCTGTTGATAACCACCTTCCCAGGGCAAGCACTTAATGACCTCAGGACCTCCTGGTAGACCCATTCTCTTACATCGTATTTAGATCCACTCTTCACTCTTAAATCCATGAACCATTAAGTAAGAATTTGGACTTTAAGTCTGAGTGAGTTTGGGGAGCCAAAATCTGCCCAACTCTCCATAACCATTGTAAACAATGCTTTTGTCATTTTATTAGCTTACATCAGTCAAATCCTAGATCTTTGCTATTGCTCCACTCATGTATAACAAGCATACTTTTTCTTGATATGGATAAAACATGAATGAAGTGGAATAGGGCAAGGGAGATGTCTGATTTGCCATATTTCAAGAAACAGGTATGAAGACTCCCTCACGAGGTGTGGAGCGTGTAGGTGTGCTTCCATGCGTGCAGGTTGCCAAGTTCAGCCTGCAGAAAGGAGCCCTGAAAACTAACTTGGGCATCAGCCACCCTCTTAGTCATCAGAGCATCCCCAGAGCCGGTGGGCTCTTGCCTGTGATACGGAGTTGCAGTTTTTCCATTTCTTCCCATTTTGTTTTACTGTTTGCTATTTGCTTCTGTTAAATACTGAGACTGTCGGAGTAGATAGGTGTCCTTTTAGGTAAGGAAAGGGAAAATGCTCATCTTGGCTCCTGTCCTATTTAACTTCTCTGTAGAGAGCCTCTTGTGACAAGATTATCATCTTGGCCCTGGAGCAATCGGAGCGGGATAGAGGCAGAGGAGACGTGGGCCTGAGGAGTACCATTCCCTAGTCTCGACTTCCGGAAGGCAAAGGGAAGCTTTACTTGGCCAGCCATTCCCTACTGAACATCCTGACTTGTGAAAAGAAGTTGGGATGGAGAAATGATATATGGAAAACTTGCTTCCCATCCTCCAGTTCTCCTTCCTCTATTCTTTGAAGTTTTTTTCTGGTAAATAAAGCACAAAATAACAAGAGTCTGTCTTTTAAGCGGTGCCACCTGTGAATAAAAAAAAGCCGGGAGAGCCCTGGATATCGGCCTGGAATGGGGATGTACTATTTGCCCTAATTAAAATGCAAGGAGTCCTTGGGCACCGTGGAGTCAGGAACAAAGAGACTGTCACCAGTGACAGATCTCTTGTTTTTATGGCTTTTCAGCAGCCAGAGCCTGCAGTGGGAAATCTAGAGAAACCTAGGAGATGTTAGTCCCCACACCGGTGACCTGGTTACTTGTTTCACAGTGCACTAAGTACCAAGGGTGACTGGATGACCAGGAGCAATAGCTGGTGGGGAAGACAACTCCAGAAATGCTTTAGTCCACCAAGGTGATACCTTTCTTTTGAACTCCCAAGTAGGACATGAATGTAAATGAAATGTCATTGTGGTTGGCCTGGGAAAAAGGAAGTGCACAATATTTAGAAAAGTGTGATTAAATAAAATAGCAACAGAAGCCTTTTTATAGCCATGTATGTGGAAGGGGAAGCTGGTGTCAAATACTTGAGGTTACTAGATAATAGGGCACATTTAAGGTAATCCTCCTTGAACCTTTTGTGAAAATTGTTTCCTCCATTAAAACCTTTCAAATTTAGTGAATGGAAAATGTAGGCTTGACCTTTTTGATTTCAGATGATCTTTTAAAAATTTTATTTATTTCTCTTTGAAAGGCAGGTTTGTAGAGAGAAAGACAAAGATCTTCCATCTTCTTGTTCATTCCCCAAATGGTAAACTATAGTCAATCTGAAGCTGAAAGCTTGGAGCTTCCTCCAGGTCTGCTCTGTCAGTGCAGGGACCCAAGGCTTTGGTCCATTCTCTGTTGCTTTCCTAGGCGGTAAGCAGGGAGCTGTATTGAAAGTGGAGCAGCTGGGATTCGAACCATGTCTTTCCAGGATGCCAGTGCCACAGGCAGAAGCTTAGCCTAGTATGTTATGGTACCGGCCCCTGGATCAGGACATGTTGGTAACTATTTCACTTTAGGAAAATTGTATTGAATTGTGAGCATTTGATGCAATGGCTTACATTGATGCCTGGGGTGCCCTCCTTCCCTGTTGGGGTGCCTGGTTCAAGTCCAGGCAGCTCTGCTTCTGATTTAGCTTCCTACTGAAGTCATTCCAGGAGGTAGCAGGTTATGTTCTTAAGTACTTGGATCCGTGCTACCTTTTTGGGAGACCTTATTTGAGTTCCTGGCATTCCTTATCATTAGATTTCTTCAAAAATGTACAGAAAATTGAATTAAAACATAAATTTATTTTTGTAAAAAAAAATTAGATTTTTTCCATGAGCTTTCTGAAGACTTGTCATAGAAGTTAGTCAAACTTTTGCAACTAAGTAGTCAGGAGCACCATGTCTGAAGGTTACAATGTGAATAAGGCACCAACTAGGTTTAGCTTCATTTTAAAAATTTTAATTTATAATACAGTTCCATAGGCTCTGGGATCTCCCCTCCTGTTCTTCCCTCCCCAAATCTCCTCCTCCTTATAGTTTCCCTGTTATTACAATAGTATAGTCCTTCAAAAGCAGTGATAAGTCCATCATTCTGCTGTTTCAGTGTATCTTGTTATTGTAGGACTGGGGAGCAGTGTGAAGTCCAGCATTCCAGTGTCAAGACACAGTTAAGAGTTCCATTGGGAGTTCACCTTGGGTTTGGAAGTAGAGGAGCACACTGCTTTCTTGACGTAACCTAGTGTAACGCTTGCTCTGACTTTAAAATTCCACTGTGCATCAGGAAAGATGTAGCAGTCAGCTTACCTGTGCATCAAACATCTTTCTAAGGATTGTTGGGAACAAAGGCTGATTACCAGCATGTGCATTTCGTGTGTGTGTGTGTGTGTGTGTGTGTGTGTGTGTGTGTGTGTGTGTGCGTGTGTGTGTGTGTGTACTTAGAATAGGTTTGTAAATGTCTGCAAATAGACTGAAAGAACAAAGTTCATTTCCCAAATTAAAAAAATAAATAAATAAAGGACCGTTATCAGCAGGAGGCTTCCTGCGCGCTCGTCAAGTTGTGTACAGTGACCTTCCTCGGTGGACATGGCAGTTTTTCAGCAAGGCCAAGGATGAATTGGGCCCATTAAGCAGATACCGCAGGATGTGCATAATTACAAACATAAAAAAAAAAACCTTTCATTTCCGGAACTTGTGTCCCAAAGGCCTTCCCATTGTGTCTGGGAAAGCTAATTATCTACCCCAGAGAAAGAACCACTTGTTTGGGGAGAATCAGAAATGACGTTCGCCATGTGAGAAATAGGCAGGGGTGACAGCTGAGAGACTTGGTCTGGGAGACTCACCCCGGTTCATTTGTGTTGTGTTGCTCATTCTGGCTCCAGGGGGTGGCTGGTGGGTGGGGATGGAATAAGAGCCCAGCAGTTTGGTCCATGTGTAGACAAAGCCCACTCACTACATGCATATGCATTTCCCTGCTCAACAGAAGATCTCTATTTTCTTTTTAATACCTTAAATTGTTCTCTGCATCTAAATGTACTTGATGACCTTTCTGGAGCCCATCTCACATGGTGCTGTAACCAGGAATGAATTTCACATAGTGTTTATTCGCTTTTAGAAATTTATTTGAAAGGGAGAAGATCTGCTTTCTTCTGATCCACTTCCTAATTGCCCACTACAGCTGGGGCTGGGCTAGGCCAAAGCCTGGGGCCCGAAACTCCTTCTGGGTCTCCCATGTGAGTAGCAGAGACTCCTTGGCCCACCACCTGCTCTCCCCCACCGAGTGCACACTGCTGAGAAGCTGGAGTCAGAGGCCAAGGCAGGACCTGACCCTGGGCACTCTGTGGCGGGATGTGGACGCTCAGGGCCGGGCCTCTGCTCTGCCGTGAGCCTCTCCTCTTCTGCTGCACAGTGACTGGTTGCTGATCGTGCTGAGCCCTTCACCCTAACGCTCTTCCTCAGAACCTTGTCCCAAGTTGCCTCCTCAGAAAGGCCCAGAACATTCCATGGCCACCCTCGGGCTTCGGTTGCTTTAGTAAGTTTCTTCACAGTCCATGTCTCTAGGTGAGATTATGTCATGATGTATTAGATTACTAGAGGAAAGGAGCTTCGTCCCTATTATTTACTCTCCTTGCCAGAAAACGGTATATTGTAGTGAATGAAGAAATGAAAGATGTATAGGAAACCTTCTGTAGAAACACTAAGTGGCTCTTTTTTTTAAGTGGGGCTAGTGTAAAGTCCGGTGGAACTTGATAGAAGGATGACTTTCTCAGTCTTTATTTGTTTTGCTTTGTTCTTAAATAAAATACACAAGGAGGGATGGCATTTGGCATGCAGCTGACAGGCTGCTGGGGGACACACACATGCCGTGGTGTTCCTAGGTTTCAGTCTCGGCTCCATCCCTGAATCTAGCTTCATGCTGATTGAGGTGCTGGCCCCAGTAGCTGGGTTCCTGCCACCAATGAAAGAGACTCAGATGTTCCAGCCTCCTGGCTGTTGTAAGCATTTGAGAAGAGAAACAGTACATGGAAGTTTCTCTTTCTCTTTTAGTATTTTTGTTTTCTCTGCTTTTTATATAAAAATGAATTTATAAAAATATTTTAAAGTAAACAATAGAAAGCAAAATTGGTAAGGAAATTGGGCTGGCTTCTAACTCCCCCCCCCCTTTTTTTTCTTTAAAAAAAGGACTTGTCTGTTTATTTTGAAAGTCAGAGCTAATGAGAGAAAGCGATCTTGCATTTACTGATCCAAATCTACTCCCCAAATGACCACACTGATCAGGGCAGGGCGCAACTGAAGCCAGGAGTCAGGGGCATCCTCCCAGGTTATCTCAGAGGGACCTTAAAATATTGTGTCAAAACTTCCCTCAGTGAATGTTCTAGCTCCTCCAACAAGGCTCTCTGAAACACAAACTACCCATGCATGCATCAATGAAGTAGCGCATTCATGCAGAAAACAATTCGATGTTGGGAGTACAGTGATGAGAAAGTTGGACACCATTCCTGCTCTCGCCAAGTTTTGAGGTTACCTAATTGTTGGGCAATCAGTCTATCACTAATAGAACGTTCTGGGAGCCAACAAGAGCTTCTCTGAACCAGTTCTGGGGACAGCTGCTTTATGTTGTCCACTGGGCATCTTCGGGGGGGGGGGAACAAAGGAAGAATGGAATTAGGTCTATTTTATGTTCACATTTACAGCTTTGAAACAATTAAGCAGTCTCAGTGATTTGACATAAACGTACAAATAGATGATATGGCATCAAAATATTTACACGAAGATACTTTTAATTGTTTGTGGAAAAATGAAATGTAAAAGCTAAGTTTACAGGCAGGTGTCGAGGTGTAGTAAATGAAGCTAACCCTTTGGTGCTGATGGTGGCATCCCAGTAGCGAGCGCTGTGCTCGGGTTCCATGTCCTTGGTAATCCACCTCAGAAGGATGGTTCAGGTACTTGGACCCCAGTCACCCACCTTGTGGGACACTCAGATGGAATCTCTGGCTCCTGGCTTCCACGTGGTCCAGCCATGGCTGCTGTGACCATTTAGTGAGTGAACTAGTGGATGGAAGATCTCTCTTGCTCTTTAATTTCCTTCCCTCTCTCCTCTTTCTCTGTGTTACTCTGCCTTTCAAATAAATGTTTTCTTTAAAAGAAGCTTGTTTTAATGGACAAAAGTATTGAAATCCATGCATTTTTTTATAATGCATGCTTTTATTTTATTTTATCTTAAGATTTATTTATTTTATTACAAAGTCAGATATACAGAGAGGAGGAGAGACAGAGAGGAAGATCTTCCATCCGATAATTTACTCCCCAAGTGAGCCGCAATGGCCGGTGCTGTGCCGGTCCGAAGCCACGGCTGCCAGGATTAGAACTGGCGTCCCATATGGGATCCCGGGGCGTTCAAGGCGAGGACTTTAGCCGCTAGGCCATGCCGCCAGGCCCAATGCATGCTTTTTAAAAGCCCTTCATGCTTAACATGTTTATCTACCCAAGATTCCAGAGGAGAAAAAGCAGGGAAGTGGAATGTTATATTAGCTATATTAATAGTACCACTGATCTTAAAAAGTTCATGAAAAATATATCATGGAACAACCACACATGGCTTTCAAGCTTTCTTGTGTAACAAAATGAGTTTATCTTTCCATTTCGTTTTCCATCAACTTTTGGGAGTATCCTTGTATTAGCTGACAACTTGTAGATTGTCGTTCTTTAGCCAGTGTTGCCTTGAGCACCATCATATGCTACAGATGCAGCCAAATAGTCCTCACTAAGGGCATGCACTCTGCTGGGGCAGCCACTCCAGAATGAAGCAGAACCAGAGTTAAGGATGGGATGTCATGTGGCAGGTGGGGAGGAGAGGAAAATGAGGCGAAGGAAGGGACTGTGGTGAGGAGGGGGTGAGACTCTTCTTAGGTCGAGGGGGCAACTTCCTAAGAGGTAAATGTGATGGAAGAGCCAAGGCAAGGGAGGGGGGAGCTTTGCATACAGAAGAAATAGCAAGTGAAAACCCTCTAGAAGGGTAGTGTTCACAGTGTGCGACGCGAGTGGGGTGAGTGCAAAGAGGCAGTTGGGGCCTCAAAGGCCACAAGTGGTCTAACATACAGATCCAGCAGGGTGAGGATTTAGACTTCACATGGTGCAAGGGTAGCCACCGGGTTCGAAAAGGCAGGTTTTCACAGATAACAGTCAGACTATGCAGCTGCCACAGGGGAGCGGTGGAGAATAGCGTAAGAGGCGGAGGAGACATATAGACACAGGGAAACCAGGCAATGAGTCAGTGTATTGTGCCAGGCATGAAGGGAAGCTAGTTTGGGCTAGCTGGGATCCTGGAGCTGGTGGGAGGTGATTAAGTAGTCTCCATCGTTCCTTTGGTGGGAAGTGATTGGTTGGACTGAACCACAGTCAAGGATGGCATGGCGACATGGCAGTGTCGTTCTGAGCAGCTGCAAGAATGGAGGCCTTGGTTTCGATGGACTGGCAAAAGCTTGGCTTTGGACACATGGAAATCTAACGTAGACTTCAAGTGCATGATATGTCTGTAAAAGACAGCTCCATTTAACCCATTTTGAATACCTATTTTGTGTCAAGCATGTTAGTATTGCTTTGTCAGGTTTAGGTTCTTTGTAGTCCCATTTTATGGAAGAGAAAAATTAAGGAGCAGCTGGGTTGAGTAACTTGCCTAGGCCGCACGTGATGTGAACCAGGCTGTCCGAGTTCAGGCACTTTGTTCTCATCCTCATGGGAGAGGATAAGAGGCAAGAGTTTGATTTTTTCTTTCACATTTTTTTTCTTGGTGGAGGTTTGTGGCTGTGAGGCACAGCAGTGGCATCAATCTGCTTTTCTCTGGCTGAGCATCAAAGAATTAGCTCCTGGGAGAGGGAAACTGCTCCAGGCTCAGTACAGCTTGTGGCCCGAGGACATTCAACCCAGAACCTAAATCAAATCACTCCTGTGAGATTTCTAAGCTTATAAATAAATAAAGCGTATTAGACCAAATGAGAATCTTTTGTGAGCTGCAGGGACTTTGCCTCTCCCCCTGCATTATTCTTGGTTTCTCCTTCAAGGGACACACCGTGAATGTCAAAAGCCAGTGTGAAAATACAATTGTAATAGCTTCCTTTCTGAGCCAGTAGAGTCCTTTCTGATGTGTGGTTTTAATAAGTTGCATTAGCTATTGAATACATGGAAAGGAACGTGTTAAGATGCGTATTAAATGATAAAGAACAGCAGCATGACTTGTCACCTAGTTTAACAAGTAAATGTTGTCATCATCCAGAAGCCTGCGTGTATCTCTGCTGATCGTATCTGCTGCCTTCATCACGTCCCTTCCCTCCCTCCTGTATCACCACACTCCTGAGTTCTGCGATAATAACTGCATTACTTTTCTTGACAGCTCTCCTACCTACACATACATCAAGAATGATGTAATTTAATTTAGCTGGGTTTTGAACCTCATAAGAATGAAACAGTACCTCATTTATTTTGTGGCTCGTTCCTTCAGCACAACCCTATTTGGGAGGTTTGTCCTCACCAATACCTGTAGCTATGGTTCGTTTAGTTTTTATTGCTGTGTAGCATGATTCATTTATTCATTCCGTTACTGAGGGACATTGGGGTTATTTCCATTTATTAGTAGTTAAGAAAGTACTTCCATGATCATTCTTTTTATTTTATTAATATACATTATTTTACTAGTTAAGATTTTACCTGATTTTATTGGAAAGGCAGATTCACAAAGAGGAGGAGAGACAAAGGATCTTCCATCCAGTGGTCCACTTCCCAAGTGGTCACAACTTGGCTGGAGCCGAGCTGATCCGAAGCCAGGAGCTGGGATCCAAGGCCTGGCCATCCTCCACCACTCTCCCAGGCCACAAGCTAGATGGGCAGCGGAGCAGCCGAGACATGAAGCAGCACCCACATGGGATCCCTGCATGTGCAAGGCAAGGATTTAGCCACTAAGCCATCGTGCCAGGCCCTGTTAATAAACATTAAATTAGGTGCTGGTGAACCCGTGCAGATGATTGTCTTGTATAGAAGCACAGAAGGTTCCCATACGGGGAGCTGGCACTGTGCAGTGCCACCATGCTGGCCCCAATTAATCTGTTCTTAAATCTCTGACTTTCAGATAATCACATTTAGGGGCCAGAACTGGGGTGCAGTCAGTTAAGCTATTGCTTGCAACACTGGCATCCCATCAGATGCCAGTTCGAGTTCTAGCTGATCCACTTCTGATCCAGTTTCCTGCTAACATGCCTGGGAAGGAGAGGGAGGTGGCCAAGCCTCCCGCCTGTGTGGGAAGCCAGGAAGGAGCTTCTGGCTCCTACTTTCAGCCTCGCATAGACCTGTCTGTTGTGGCCATTTGGCGAGTGAACCAGTGAAATGAAAAACTTCTGTTCCCTCTCCCTGACCCTCTCTCTGTCTTTCAAACAAATAAATTGTAAATTTTTTTCATAAGGAATAAATTCTAAAAGTTTTGAAACCAGTTGGCCTTATATTTCCCTTATGTGAAGTTATAAGTACTGATTAACTGTATTTTATAATTATCGAACAAGTTAGATATTTCAAAGTTACATTTTTCTAAGACCTCTAAATTTTAGTTGTTTTCAAATATATTGGTGTAAACACATTCATTATTTTTCTCTCATTGCCTTCTTAAGATACTCTTAGTTGGATACTTTTATATTCTTGGTTTTATTTATGCTCTTTTTTTCTTGGCAGTTTTAGCCATTTCTGTTCATTTACTTTGAATGATTTGAAAGGAGAGAGACAGAGTCAGGGACCAACTGACGGAGGTCTCCCAGCACTCCCCGAATGCCAGGTGGAAGCCACGAGCTCGTCCTCAATCCTGCATGGCTGACAGAGGCCTTGGCCATCACCTGCTGCCTCCCAGGATGCACTTCAGCAGGAAGCTGGATTGGAAACGAACCCAGACATTCTAATATGTGATGCAACCATCCCAAAGTAGTGCCTTAACTGCTCAAACACCCTCCCTCCATAGTTGTTTTTTTTTTTTTTACATTATTTTCATAATTGAAGCTTTTTTATTTTGAAAGGCAGAGAGAGCACATAAAATCAAACATGAGAATGTATTCCCATTAACCGATGCATTCCCCAAACAGCCCCAGTGGCCAGGGCTGTGCTGGGCCTGAACCAGGAGCTGGGAACTCACTCCATTTCCCCATGGGTGGCAGGAGCCCATTGCTTGAATCATCACCTCCTGCTTCCCCCATAATCTGACTGTCCTGACGCTTGCCCCATCCAATCTTTTTTGACTTCCAAGGGGATGTCATTATTTAGGCAGTATTCACTGTGTTATTGGCCATTGGTGACCTAGTTAACCCATAATTCCTCAGCCTGGGAGTTGAGAGTGGAGGGAGATTGGAATGGCAAGTTCCAGGTCTAATCACATGGCTAGTTCCCCTGGCAACCAGCCTCTCATCTTGTAGTTGTCTAGGCCTTGGGAGTTAGCAAAAAATTGCCTCATTAACACTAGTTCAGATGTGTTTGAAAGGATATGTTACAGAGGAGACCATCTTTCCCCTTTGTAGCTTACAGCTGCTTCAGGGTCCAAGGACTAAAGGCAAAACACTTTAACAAATGATACTTTTATTTGCTTCAGTCACTTAGGAAATAACAAGAGCTGCCAGAGCTGTAAGCCAAGTATCATAGACGAGAATCAAAACCATATAAATATCACATCACAGTATTGCATGCATGTCAGCAACTGCAGTGAGTGAGTGTGCATGTCTTAGTCTGCAGAATCATCAACTGCTGTCCAAAGCAGAGCTAGCAGGGGCGTGTCACAGGCGTGTGTGCATGCACTCCCAGATCCACTCATCTCTTAAACAGGCTTCATTTCTGCAGTACCAGTTCACAGATTTTCTTGCAATGATTGGTGTGCCACTGAAAGTGGAGAAAATGTAAGCGCGTGTGTTCAGTTTCGTTTTGAATGAAGCTGCGGTCTACATTTAAAAATAATATTAGAGCCCCAAATGTAACTGCTACTTTTTTGTTGTGATTCCCTTTGATTGAAAGATCCTGAAATCTTAGCTATAGTAGCTGTAGTGTTAACTCACCATAGGCTCTCAGCCAGTTTCCAGCCAGTCTCTGTCATGAGTGATTCTTCTGTATTTCCTTGCTTTGTGTGACAAAATTTTAAAAGTTCACCGTGAGATGAAATTAAAATATGCATTTATTTTGGTGCAAAAGCTTTGTCTTAATGCACATTTGCCATCACTTCTTGAAAACCTCTTGTCTAGCTTTTGAGATTTCAGACTCTGAATAGCATCAAACAACTAAAGACAAATGAAGTATAGCTATTTATATCACATGTTCTTGGATTTTGGTCTATCTCCAGCCTTGACCATGCCTTGCTGGACATGCCCTTCATTTGACTCCTTGGGCAGATGCCCTTTGACCTCCGAGAGCAGCTGGACCACACCTTCTGAAGACACCAGCAGTCCTAGTTTTGCTCCTTCATACACAGACCTACAGCTCATCAATGCTGAGGCGCGGACAAGTGGCAAAGCTTCTGGGGCTGACTCGACTGGTAAGATGGAGCTCCAAGCCAGAGGGCTTTGCAAATCCTTTATGCTGTTCCTAGATGCTCTTTTATATCCTCGTAAATGCATGCAGCCTGAATGACTTCCCAAATGAGTTCAGGTATGGTTATCTAGTGAAAAAGCTAGAATGCAACAGGATTTGAAATTGCGATGGCAAAAACATATAAACATATTGGCTGGTTGGCACTTGATTCATAGCATGAAGTCATTTAATGGCGTATCGTAATGTGTGTTTTTTTCTGAAGATTTGGTGCATGTTCTGTTCCCTGCCAACTTACTTTCTCCTTGGATTAACTGAGTTCTGTGTAAAATGCACAAAGCTGAATCTCTCATCTTACCACCCACACACATCCTCACTCAACAGCAAGAGGGAGGAAGATTTAAGCAAAGTAGATGTTATATGGAGCGGAATGAGGATCAGAACTCAGCCACTGTGTCCAGACTGCATATCATTCTGCAGTTAAATAACAGTTCTGTTGTGCCTTCAGTTAGCTTTTTTGCTGGTCTTCAATGTCCCTCGATCTCATTTATTAAACTTTATGAAAATCATAGCAATGCTGGCTTTCTCTGCAGATCAAATACGAGCCTGTCGCTAGGCAATGTGCAGTGGCTGTCATTTGGGGCAGCTGTGGAAAAAGTGCATTTCTTAGTGTTTGGATTATTTAGCCCAAGGAATGGTTTCCGGTGAAATTGATGGAGGTACCAGTAGGTTCTCAGTGGATGAACACATCCAGTGTGTCAACCTCATTTATTTAACTTCTCAAAAATGTTGTTGAGGACTTTGCAGATTATTTTTCTTTTTTTTTTAATAATTTTTTTTTAATTTTGACAATCTTTACATAGTTAAAAAGGTTCAAGGGCTACAGGAAAGTGGGTAAGATTATTATTTCCATATTGTTTCCTTCATGTGTCTGAGGTAAAGGGGGATATTGAGGAAGAAGCCCCACCTGATTTCCCACCGCAGATTATTTTTCAAGTGTGGGTAACACTCTCATGCTGTGTGCTGTTGGGGCCTACAAGTATGACCAGGCCCTCCTGCAGACTAAAGGGCTCAGACAGAATTGGTTTGGTTTTATTTGTGACATTTATTTTCACAGACAAAAATTAGGCTAACATGAAGTATCTTTCATTCCATTTTTTCTGCAATTTCAAGTACTTTGTGTGTTCTCCCACAATCCCATTTCTGCTGCGGGAGAGCATCTTGTGGGTGGGAGTACCTCTGCAGCTGCTAAAGCCACTGGGAAAGAGGATGAGCTGACCTGCCCACTCTGTTTCCCCTTGCCCTCTGCTTCCTTTCCATCCAGTTGTCAGCTCCTGGTAAGACAATTTTATATAGCACAATCTGCAGGAGAATAAATGATCATCAAGAATGAAACTTGTCCCTTCCTGCTGTAGGACTTCTGTTTCTAGGTGGTACAAATTGGGTGCCTTACTGAAGGAAAAGACAGGATCTTTACTTTCTTATAAGTGAAAGTAGCTTTAGTTATGAAGGTTCAGTTGATGAAAATTGGATCTAGGCTGCACTCGATATTATTCACCTATCTCAAAAGTGAAATTTGCTTTTAGTGGGGCTGATATTACATAAAGAATTAAGTTCCACCTACAACTCTGGCATCCCATATGGATGCTGGTTTGAGTCGTGGCTGCTCCACTTCCCATCCAGCTCTCTGGTAATGTGCCTGGGAAAGCAGGAGAAGATAGTTCAAGTCCTTGGTTCCCTGTCACCAATGTGGGAGACCCAGCAGAAGGTTCTGCTTTTGGCCTGGCCTAACCCCAGCCAAGCTCTTGCCAATGTAGCCATCTACAGAGTGAAGCAGTGGATGGAAGATCTCTCTCTATAACTCTGCTGCTCAAATAAATAAAATAAAGTCATACTAGCAAAGTGGCCGTCCACATCAAGTAAACCCCCTTCTGGGTCATTGTTGTCACAGTCCCGGGAAGAGGCACAGGGGTCTCTGAAAAGGGTTCACTTGGAGAGACTTTTAACAGAAGAACTGCTCACAGACACAGAAGGAGCTGGAGTCTTAGGCGAAGAATCACCCAGCCCCCGTTACAGACTGAGAAACACCAGGCCCACAGCAGAGATTTGGTGAGGGAATGAGATACCGGGCCATAAGTTCCCAGATCTTATGCTTTTGTTTTCCACAGACAAATCCAAGACAAAAGCCACAGGGCACAAAACTGTGGGAAGGCAGGTTACAGAGATCAATCACCAGGGGACACAGCAAATAGTAGATTTGGGGCACAGGGTAGAATGGAGCAAATGGAGAAGAGCTACCACCAGGAATTAAGTGGCCCCAATCAGGCCAGGATTGCTTTGGGGACTCAAATGCAAGCTCAAGACTGGAGAGTAGCATGTTATTAATCTTCTTTCCTTCAGCAGGAGGCTGTTTCCATAGCTACAAGGAGCAAGAGGGATGTGCGTGCTTTGGTGACCACACTGTAACACTAGTGATGATCACAGCCAGCTCTTACTGAATGTCTGCTGTGTGCCTGTCTGTGTGATGTGTTGTCTCTGGATTTTATACCACTTCCACAGGGTAGGTGTCCTTCTGTCAATTCTTTTCTTTTTCTTTCTTTTTTTTTTTTTTAAGATTTATTTTATTTACTTGAAAGGCAAAGTTAAAAATTGAGACAGAGAGAGAGATCTTCAATCTACATTTGTTTCATTTCCCCAAATATCTGAAGCCAGGAGCCAGAAGCTTCTTCTGGGTCTCCCATGTGGATTCAGGGGTCCATCTTTCGTTACTTCCCCAGGCATATTAGCAGGGAACTGAATCAGAAAGCTAGCAGCCAGGACTCAAACTGGTACCTACAGAGGATGCTGTCTTTGCAGGTGCAGACTTTAACCTCCTACACCACTGTGGTGGCCCCGAGATTGATGATTGATGATTGATTGATTGATTGATTGATTGATTTTCAAAAAGCAGAAATGGTAAAACAGCTGGAGCTAGGCCAGGCTAAAGCCAGGAACCTGGAACTCCATTTGAACCTCCTGTGTGCGTTTTAGCATCCCGAGTACTTGGACCATCTTCTGCTGCTTTCCTAGGTTCTTTCGGCAGGTTGCTGCATTGGAAGTAGAGAAACTGGCAGTTAAATAACTCTGCTAAGGGGTGCTGGCTTGATAAGCAACTGCTTAACCTGATGCACCACCAATGGCAGGCTCTTTATTTACTCAAAAGACGGAAAGAGAGATGGCAGAGAATTTGCCTCCGCTGATTCATTCCCCAAAGGCCTATAAAAACTCAGACTGGACCAGGCTGAACTGGAGGCCAGAAACTCAGTCCCCATTTCGCACATGGGTGGCAGGAATCCAAACCAGAGCCCTTACTTGCTGACTCCCAGGGATTGGGAACAGAGCTGGGACCAGCCAGCTCTTATATGGGATGTGGAGATTTCAACCAGCAGGCTAAACAGCCGCGTCCTTCTTTTCCGTTAGAAATGTCCAGGAGCTGGGAGGTGTTGTCATCTATTTATGATTGCAGCCATGTCCCTCACATCCTTCATCCCCTTCCACTCCCTCAGGCCTCAAAGTGACAGGCAGGACCCTGAGAAGTGGGAGAGAGTGAAGCGAATCCTTGGGGAGCAGGTCCCCATTCATAGGGTCAGCATTAGGATACAGTCTGAATAGCGGAACCTGGGAAAACTCTTCCTGGACACACTGACTTGTTGAGTGTTTTTGATATGTCTTTGAAAAATTCTTTGACTCATCATGGGTCCTTGAAAAGAAGGAAAGGAAGGAAGAGGAGATTTAGGAAGAATGGTGAAGTATTTAGAAATGATGACATTTTATCTGCCTACCCCTGCAGTGCAGACTGCAAACATACTTTCAGTTGAGCTGAGGGAAGCTTTGAGGAAGGGCCCCAGCTAGGTGAGCACCTCTTCCTGTCTGGCACCAGACTTGAGGCAGTGCTGGATGTCCTGACCCGCTATGGGACTCTGAAGCAGGTTGCCATCTGAGCCTGCCTCCTGGGAGCAAGGCATCGGTCTGGAGCTTGCCTTCCTTACAGTCTCCTTCCAGGGACAGTTTGGGATGTGTGGGAAGGTGTTCTGTGCAAAATCCTATGGGGACTTTTTTTTTTAATTCCTAATTTTAACTCTCTATGCCTTGTCCTTTGACACGCAAAGCAAGGATAATTATGACTTGCTCCTTTGTTATAAGGAGTTAGAAACTGACACTGGGATGAGATTAGGAAAATACTCTGTACTTCTCAGCACAAGCAGTAGGTAAATATGGAAAAACACTGTGGTGGGTTTGCAATGGTTAGTGTCTGTGCTGACTACTAGGGAGTCCTTGCAACGAATTGCATTGGGGAGACACTTAAAGTTGATTCCGTACCTCCCACCTCCCAGCCCCACTAGCAGCATGCTCTTTAGCCTTATGGAGGGCAGTAGGAGTTAACAGCCCAAGCAGAATTGCAGCCCCTAGAGGACCTCCTGTGGCCACTCCAGCAGGGAAGTGTGTGAGGGAAATGGCTGGGGCAGGTGCTCTGTGCTTCATCTCTTGCACGGAGAAGGATTACTGCATCCCATGCTTAGACTGCTTCCCTTGGCTGGCTCAGGGCCCTCTCCCGGTGGTCTGGGCAGGAATTCAGCTGGGATGCAGCTGCCCCGAGGGTAGTCTGAGTCCTGGCATAATTGTGGAGGGAAGAACTCTGCGATCAGCCTGTACTTCCTTCTCATTTTCTCACCAAGGGAATAATTAGGAGGAGGGTGGCAAACCCATCCCCTCACCTTGGTTAAATCACAGGGTGGGGCCGAGTTGGAGTGCTGTGGTGATGTTTGCTCTGGCGTTCAGCTCTGCAGACAGAGCAACAGCAGAACTGGGAGCGGGCAAGATGCCAAGCAGCACTTGCTTCCCTCTGACCCTCATTGCCCTGTTGTCTTCTGCAGTCAGAGCCAGTCTGTTTTGCCACTGGATTTACATGGGTTGTTAAAAGGCCAGAGGGCCAAAGAAATTAGAAACAAGCCTCTAACTTTAAAGAGA